CAATAAAAGACAACAAAAAGAATAAAAACAACGTCTTAACAATAGTACAAAGAAAGACTAGAAAAAGAAAAAAAAAAAAAAAAAAAGAACAAGCGGCGGTTTTGTACGTACTGGGTGGAGAGAGAGTCGCCACCCCAGCCCAAAACCAAAAAGAAGTTGTCCCCGGGCGGGCTCGAACCGCCGATCGTCACGATACGATACATGCAATGTCTTCGTATTATAAGCGTGAAGCCTTAACCAACTTGGCCACGAGGACCTGCCAACTCGACCATCCGGTCTATGTTGTTGGTAATGGTGGGGCATGCTTGAGTCATATAGAGCGAATGTCATTAAGTCATCATCAAAACACTTTTACGTAATTGTCGACCCTAAACCATGGGTTCTTATGGGGTTGTTGTTTACCTCCCGAAATCGGTATATATTCGGCCGTTCTGGGTGTTTTCTTTATTGTTGTTTGTGGGGTATAGGTAGTTGCGATATGGTGGTTTTTGCGATACTTGGATGGTGGGCTGGGTTGGGCGGCACAGGTACAGTACGCGACTTTGAACTCAGTGACTTCGGTCTTCTTTGCATGACACAACTCGTCCTGGGCAAGTGTTATTGCTCCTTCTTCACGAGCGAACGCTCTCTAGTCCATACTCGAAACACGTCACTATTCACTTAGGGCGGTACCGTTCTACTTGAGGTATAAATTGCTCATCTGTCCTGTTCCTCTTATTTGAGCCAATCCCTCCCCTACGCTCAATACCACCCCTCGCAGTCGCCATTCAGACCCGCGCTCCCGGCGACGAATATTCCTGCCAGTACCTTCCTTTAAAATGCACGGAACTACCGTGATTCAATATCCTCATCCAGTTCATGGGCCAGAAACAAAGCACCCCTCTCCTTTATCCTTCCTCCGATTCAATGATTTGCTTACCAACCCGCGCCCCATGAAATTCCACCATAGTATGCAAGCACGATGTCTCCAATACCATAGCCGCGCCTCGCCCCCTCTATGTGCGGCACCTGTCTCTCCAAGCCAGCAAGCCAGCTTGAGTGCCTTCGTTTGGATCTCTGCGAAACAAAAACGGATAATGATTTTATGATATCCTGCATCGCGTCGAGTCTTATTCTCAAACGTCGCATTCGCTGTGTGGATCGAACCGCTCGTTGCGGCCCGCTTCCTGATCACGGCTGACAAGTGCCCCGAAATAGCCGCGCCGGGGGTGGCTTGATCTCGGCTGGAGAGGGGGGTGCTTATGGGTAGGTAGTGGGGCAGTCCGTCGCAGGGCCGGCAATATCACAGTGAGCACTAACGAGAAGGACTAATGGTGGATGGACACCAGCGAGGTCTAACATGGGTACTATGTACATTGCTACGTACGTTGACGACCATTCGCTGCTGCGTATACTGAGTCCAAGGTGGATACCACAGACCAAGAGACATGGGTACGAGACTACAACAACCTTTCATCGTATGGTACATGGCCGCCAATAATAATCCGCCAGAACAGCAGTCTAATCTCCTACAATCAACGAAGAAAAGTCCCAAGGGTCCCGCCCCTGTCCATCAGTTCCCAACCGCCAACTCATGCACAATCGCCGCCACCTCCTCCGGCTTCGTGAAGGTCGGACAATGACCTGTCTCCACCTCAAACGTCCTCACCGGACGCCCCGTCTCCCGCTCCATCACCTCAACAAGATCCTTCTGATACTGAAGCGGCACATTCATATCCAACGTCGCTTGGATGTACGCCACCCGCGGAACCTCGCGCCACGCACAGCGCTGCACCTTCTCATGCCAGGCCCCGCCATTATGGGGCCGGAAGGCCGCGACATAGGCCTCGATCTCCTCGTCGGACCGCCCCGGCCCCACAATCAGACCCTTCGGATCCCGACTGACGGTTGTCTTGTCCTCTGCGAAGTCGAAAGCGAGCGGCATGTATTCGCCGTGGCCGTGCGCCTCGACGACATCAATCATCGACGTGCCCTCGGTCACAGCGAAGGCGGCAATGTATATGAGCTGGCGCACACCGCCCGATAGGCCCTGGGCCTCGCGCTGGGTGGTCGAGAGGCCCGTGAGCGCGTTGGTGCCCACCTGCCCGCCGTAGGAGTGCATGAGCACGATGACCTCGCGGCCGGCCTCGACCAGGCTCTCGACATAGGTGTGGATCAGGTCGCTGTCGTCCTCGAGGTGGGCGTTGGGCGGGCGCACGCCGTTCATGGTCAGTAGGCGCGGAACGTGGACTTCGTGGCCGCGCTTGCGGAGGGCGGCCGTGAAATCGGAATAGTGGGAGGGCGAGTGCCATGCGCCGTGGACTATGACGATTGCCTGGGGCTTGGTGGTGGGATTGGTGGCCATGATTGTGTTGCGTGAGTGGGAGGGTAGGTAGGTAGCTAAGTGGGTGATCGATAGATGGGGTAGATTGACGAGGAGGAAGTGGCGGGGTCGTGCAGGTCGCTTCTTATTTATTTTGGAGCCTGGTGGAGCTTGGGAAGAAAATAGTGGATTCGTAGTTCAGCTCGGTGGAGAGAGGTACCGTAAGCACTAAACCACAGGGCTCGTGGGCTGATTATATACACTAAGATTAGTGCCAGCTGAGCCATTGTCCTCGGCGCCCGCAGCGTTGATCCTTTAGCCCCAGGGAGCAACTCGATATCGGCTGTCCCGACCAATTCATACCAAGAGTACACGAGGTGCATCGTCTTGGTTTTTTTCTTGCATATTTACTTGCACATGATGGGTTTGAATTGTACTGTATGCCATTCCACTTCATATTGGCACTCTGCTAGGCAAAGAAAAGGAGCTTCTGTGATTAACTAGCAGTCGAATTGGTAACTTCGGGTGTGAGAGTGATTCGCCCGTTCTGATATCCCGTGGTTGCATCTTCGATATTGCCCTGGACTATATGTCCTCTCCTCTCATGAACTAAATTATTCCTCTTAATCTCCCTCCTAATCCGCTGATAGTCAACTCGGAGCCCGCGCTACGAGGCACAGGGATACACTTCCAAGATATATTGATACTTCTACCACCAGAATCCAAAGCTCTCATATATAGTGACAACATATACAACAAGTCCATCCACGGTAAGTTAAATGTCCAACAACAGGATCCTTCAATAGCTTCTTGATTACACCTGTTCACAAGGGTCGGTTGGGGCTTGTTTCCCTGGCTTGGAGGCATAGTCTTGGTCCTCTTCGTCATCTGGATCCTCATCGTCGTCTGGTAAGTAGGCCGGATCTGATAAATCGCTCGAGGCTTCCGAGCTCGAGCTTGATCTTCTCGAGGGAACTGGTGTACCAGGACGGCCTTTGCACGACTTGAACAACTCAAAACGGACTCCCACCGCGGTGTCTGGGTCGGACTCCTCGCCTATTGAAGTATCTGGGTTAGCACAAGCCCCGATGGGGGTATCAGAGTCCGAATCGGACCAACTTCGCATCGAGATATCTGAATCAGACAGTCGCCGCCCATGTGCTCCCCAATCCGACTGCCCCCCCATCGAGGTATCCGAATCAGACTCTGAGTCGGACCAGCCCCCCATCGAGACATCAGAGTCCTTGTCATCAGAGACGCCTCCCATGGTAAGATCATCTTCAGGCTCGGGATCCTTCAATGGAGGCGCGTCCGTCATCTCTATATCCTCGGGTTCCGGGGCCTTACTGCTGTCAAACCCCCAGCCCCACAACACCCTGGCCGAATTGTCTTCGAAGTCGTATGGATCGAGGAGTGGGCGATACCAATTGACTTTCTTGTTCTTCTTGCCGTTCTTGCCATTGCCGTTGTTGTTATTGTTGTTGTTTTTATTGTTGTTTCCCTTGTTGTTGAAGAAGCCACCGCCTTTTCCACCGCGGTTGTTGTTGTTATTATTACACCCCCCTCTGCCGCCATTATTGTTTCTGTTGTTGTTGTTGTTAGTGTTGTTAAACCCACCTCTTCCCCGATTGTTGTTTCCGCCGTTGTTGTTTCTGTTATTGTTGTTGAATCCACCTCTGCCACCCTGATTGTTGAAACCGCCCCCTCTTCCACCACCGCGATTATTCTGGTTATTGAAACCACCTCTACCGCCTCTGCCGCCGCCTCTGTTCCCACCTCTCATCTGAGCGGCCGTTGGTGGATGCCACTTAACTCCCTAGCGGCGAAGATTATCGTTTCTTTTGTTTTGTATGGTGTCCGTTGTCGAGACTATTCCTCGGATCGAAGACATTGATATGAAGCAACCCTGCTGCTTGTGTCGTCCCTAAGAAAGAAAAATATATAACGTGGTAGCCAGGCCAGCCGGGGGCGCGCGCGGAGGGGTGCCATTTCAGGGGGGAAATGTTTCTTATACCTTGGAAAGCGAGCATTGAACCCTTATGGCTGTATGCCACGGTTACTGGGAATCTCATGCTAAGCAACAAATCTGCTTGTTGAATTGCGTTCAAGTTCACTGTTGTATGTACAATGGTCTCCTTGTCATGAGGTTGAGACAAAGAGGCTTGAAGGGGATGTCAAAGACGCGGGGGATAAAGGCCTCGCATAATGCCATTGTTAGTTGGTTCTTGGGGGGATTTTGGGCGTAGGGCCTCCGTAGAGAGTGGCAGTGCCCTTTCTGGTGGCTGTGGTACCTGGTAGATGTCTCTACGTTGTGGGTGTGAGAGTAAGCTTTGTAGAGGCTTGGTTGTTTCTCGTATACCTTGTTCTTCGTGGGGTTTGTCTATGCTTTTCTACGGGGAGTCCGGGGCTACGGATATAGGATTGCCGCTACAGCCGTTCCATTGCTGTTGTTGCCGGGTCTACTATCAAAATAGTATGACGGTCATTGTGCTCGGCCTACGGATAGACTCATACTGTAGATGAAGGCCTTGATGGATAGTATGGTGTATGTATGCTATAGCAAGTCATTAGGTAGATCGGAGGCAGGTGCTTGCGATGTGGGGTATGAATATATTTAATGCCGTAACAGTGGCTCGTGGCCATGGACGGTGAGAAGGGGGACCTACCAGTATTAAAGATACCGAAAGGAGGGCTACCCTGTCCCATTCAGGCAGGAGGTTCCTGCTCAAGGGTGAGGGAGAGCGCCGTGGGGTGAAAGCAGAAGCGCAACAAAGGTACTGTACCACTAAGCCCTACCTTGGCACCGATGTATATTCCGCTACCCGCAGGCCGTTTTCTACCGACATGTTGCTCGATCCCCAATTCCAGTGACTGGATACTGCTCAGGAAAAGGCGCCTTTTTTTTTTTGTTACCCATCGCAGAAACCAATACGGAACGAATGGCCGTCCCACTATATTGTATCCAGACATAATACATACCGCAATCTTAACAGCATCCGCTTCGAGGATCTCAGTCAACTCTGGCAGCTAAACAACCAGGGCGCATATTGCTTTCCAAAGTCAGTCCCTATAACGGCATATCTGCATATTATTTCAACAATTCAGCCCGGGTGGTCTAGTGGTATGATTCTCGCTTAGGGATTCCAAACCCAAGCATATCTGCGAGAGGTCCCGCGTTCGATCCGCGGCTCGGGCCGATTATCTTTTTGATTTTGCTCATTTGCTGCTTGTCAGGTCCTAATCGAAGGAGAAAATCGCAGGCGCGAAATGGTGTTGTTTGTCCCCCGTGGACCCCCCAAGGCCGGGCTGTTGTGACACCAGGCGTGGTTCGTTGATTCTTTTTGTCCGTCCCCGATCCCGGCTTCCGTGGCCTGCGCAGCTTTATGGATTTATGGATTTAGTCCAAGTCAAAACTATAAGGCATATCCGCAGACACAATTCCTCGAGAGAGTGAAACATGCAAGAGGAGAAATTGCACTTTATTCCCTACACCTGAGTACAATCGCACGAAAATGACAACACATTGCTATGGATTTTACATATACTCTTTTGTTGATGGCTATTGTAGCAATCTGCCTAACAGGTACTGCACGTATCACATGCGCGCCAATCAGTCCCAAACCATGGAGGAATAGGTACCATAAACCTCAATTCAACTAGCCATCATCTAATGATGTGAACCGAGGACCACATGCAATTTCAAGGCGTAGCGCTATGTGGGTAAATTAAAAGTCTTTGATGTACAGTACAGTACAGTACATTGTATGCGTTGGGATATACTCATTAGATGCACCAGGATTCGGCTAGATCCGAGCCAGCCCTACTGCGATCCGGATCGGCGGTAGAACACAGAACTTCATGCACAATGACATACCAATCAACGCGTTGATGAGATCATAGGCTCAACACTTTTCAACCAACCGGGTCCCATAGCTCAGTTGGTTAGAGCGTAACGCTAATAACGTTAAAGTCGAGGGTTCGAGCCCCTCTGGGACCATCTTTTTGCCATTCGTTCTTCCTTCGCCTGTTTTCCTTTTTTTTTTTCTTATCAAGTCACCTCTAGTACCGTATTCAGCGTGCAGTGACAGGAGGCGACGGAAGAGTCCAGCGTTATAGCCAATTGAGTAGTCGCCGCGGGCCCGGTGGCCGGCTCATAGTAGTCCTGGTAATGCTTCCCTGGACATCACTGCTAGGGAATTCAATACTGCCTCTAACACGGCTTCTGGGGCCGGAAAGGTTTGTTGTGCAGGTTGGCGGTATCCGAGAGTAATATATACGTATGCGAGAACACAAAGCCTCCAGGTGAGGGATGGTATCTCTATGGCACTGTGATATTGACAAACCTAAGCCGCCCTATTCATATGAGATTAGGAGAGTCCAGAAGAAGGAAGATTATCCGTTGAGTATACCACCAGGGAATAGGCCGAGAAGATAGACCAGAGATTTATTCAAGGTTATGTACATCCACATCCCAAAGCAAAATCCCGTTCATCCCACCGGATGGCCCTGACATTTTAACATACAGCTTGCCTTCCCCCCCGGGTTTTTTTCTCTTTCAAACCCATCCTGTCAACGGTCGTAGTTGACATGCCTTCAAACTCTTTTGCCCTGCGATAAGAAAGCTGCGTCTCCTCTTCCCGAGGACCAGTGACGTATGCTTCACGCCCTCTGCGCCGGCAGCTCTAGCCTGCCTGTTCGCCGGGACCGTTGCGTCGATGGAGCGTACGCGAGTCTCGCTTCCAGCCATAGAATACAGGAGGACACAGCCTGCCATAAAGCGCAGTGATAGCCACCGTTGCCACCGCCAAGAATCAAGATCATGAAGTCTGTAGTGGTAATAGCATACTGATACATGCTATCAGCATCGAAGTGGCCTAGTCAATCGACCGGGTCTTTGTGGCTGTTGCGTCGCATTGATTCTTGCAAACTTCGAATCTCAATACGGTACAGCTCGTGGAGATACTCCGTTACCGACCTTCCCAGGTCGTGTGTGTGTTCTGGCAGCAGTGGCAGTGGCAGAACCGACGATGCATGAAATAACGCTCGAAGAGGTCATCGGTAGTGTATAGTCCGATGGTGTCAAGTAGGATCGACACTAAATAAGTGTGCTGCTGCAATAGCTCAAGAGATTCTGGCTGGGACAAAGCCTGCAATCGACCTAGTTATCCACACATTATCAAGCACCCACCCAGTTGGAAAATTCATGTCCGCGGAAGATATCAAGGTGACGTATATCTTGTTTTGATATGGTGAGATAAATACACAGGAAAGATATTTCTGTGAAACGGGACTGATACGACTGCTCTTTTGGCTAGTCTGATCAGAAAGCAATGTAGCCAGGACTTTGAGATGTTGATCAGGATCCAGCCTGTGCTTCTCGGAAACTTTCATTGGGGTGGCACAATGCGCCTGCCAATGTGATCGGACGCTAAAACCGGAAGATTTTGCTCGACATAAGAGAATCCACCCTGGCTTAAACTTCGAATAATATGAACTAGAAGAAATCGAAATGCTGTAGATAGAATGGGATGTGTGGTTGAGATGCTTGTTGTGTATGCATCATAGAGACCGTATGACGCTAGTCATGCATATCGAATAGGCCTACAGCCAGAAGATAGATCACCTGGATAGTTTAATGCTTTCTGCGGCATCGGTGTTGGTCTACACCTCTGGATTGCCACGACTTTGCGCACTGTCTTCTTCACATAAGGGTGCCAAGATCATAGATCATTCATTCAATGCCGCACGGTAATTGCACACGACGTTGAACCCTCCAGGATAGCCGGTTTGGATCACAACACTCCCGCATTTAAGGCAGTTGCTGGTGATCTGAACAGAAGATCCGCTGCTGTAATGGCCCACAAAGAGATAATACCTACCCATTTGCCATCTTACGCTCCTCTGCCAACAGCTGTGCGAGGCTGCTCTGATACTCAAGCAACTCGTCGGTCAATCTCTCGGGTTTCTTCAGTCTTGCATTTAAGATCTGCAGGACTCGGAAGGATGCATCGCGCGTGAAGAGACTGACGCGACTGTCCCCCCCCCCAGGAAATTGTCGGCTAGTGCGGCACTTTCGAAGTCGAAATACCTCCGTCGTCCGTTGGCACCGCCGTCTTAGAAAGTTCTATCCTGGACAGGGAACCACTGGGCCGCCTCCTTGGGATACCAGTCACCGGGACCCTCCGAATTGGGTCCAGTCGCCGGCCCCCGGACTGATTGGTGATCATTTGTCCCTTCTTGGCACTCTCAAAGTTGGCTTGGACGGCGCGAATTCGATTGGTTTCCTCTAAAATCTCGGGATCGTAGCAGATATACAGATTACCGTGGTCATCAAGTTTCTCCAGCAGATCTGCCAGATCACCCCATCTGGCCGGTGGCTCGAAGAACATCACGAGTTGAGCCACGGCTAGTTCCGGGCCAGAAGAGGGGACCCGGCAGCCGATCAGTGAGATCTGTCCCTTATTGAACTGTGTCACACGCTCAAACCTGACATCATCGAGCAGCCTGGAATGCACCAGCGTAAATTTATTCCCAAGAAACTTCTGCAGGCTCTCGGCTTGGGCAATAGTCTCAGCTGCTAGGAGTGTTGTAGCTGTAGATATTAGTATAAATCAAAAAGAGAGAGAGAGAGTGAGAGAGACCGGCTAGACTTACCCGGCTTTTTATCACCTGCCTCAGACAGAAGCTTGCGGATCTCCTCGAATCGGGTCGACTTTGGCGAGAGTAAGTAGTTGATATTCCCTCTTTTCTTCCAGAGATCAGGACTCTCAATGGTGACGAGCTGGGAGTGATATGCTTGCATAGCAGCAGGGATAGGCATGGTGGTATTGCTGATCACAAGAAGAGTGGGCGATGCAGCAGAAAGTGACTGCAAAGCCAAAGGACAATGATGACCACAACCCGACTCAGTGTCTAACAAAGTATCGCCTTCATCTAGGATAACAGTACTGACATCCTCGGGCACAATTTCGCGGTTGCGGAGATCTTTGAAGAGCTTGCCAGGAGTAGTCACAATGAGCCTCTGGGCCTCTCTAGTGGAGGAGAGTGGACTAGCAGGCCCACCGAGGCCAACGAGACATGAGACCGTGAGTGTGCCATGGCTCAACGCAATGATGTTTCCGATTCCTGCAGCTTGAACTGCCGCCTCTTTGGTGGATGTCACGAAGATGGTGCTTTTCGACCGGGCAAAAACAACCGTCAGCAGGGCAGCCGTTGTTCGGCCTGTCCTTGGGCCCCCCGTCACTTTGCATGACATCCTGTTTACTACTTGGGTGATGTTGGTTCTCTGTAGACGAGAGAGGGGCGAGTTTTCCAGTGCTCTCATCAGTTCAGGTGGTAGATCCATGAGCTCAACCTCGTGGAACCCCTCCCGAGTTTGAGGGGCCTACTCTGTAAGAAAGAAATTATCAGTATCCAAGAGCTTTGTTACCATTAGAGGGAGTGAAGTTTCACTTACAGGCAGTGTTCGGGGTTAATAGCATAATCGGGAGCTGTGGATGCCATTTTCACCAAGGCCTAGCTAGAGAAGACTTATGATTATCGGACTGAATGGAGTATTAGAAAAGGATTAGGTACCCGAGATAGACAAGGTTCAGTTAGAGAGAAAAAAAAGAGCAGGAAAATGAAGAGGAGTCGGATAGGATGGTAGAAGGAAGAGGGAAAATGAAGAGGAGTTGGAGACGATGAAAGAAGGTGTTTGGTGGCCCAGGGGCCGTAGGGCCGCGAAAAAGGGAGGGGGGAGGATGAGGAGGAGATGGAGAGGATGGCCGAAGGAAGAAGAAGAAGGCGAAAGGGGGTATAGAGAGAGAATGGGGAACAACACATTCACTATTCTGACCTTTAGGCAACGATCTGGATGGCTGTTTCATTCACGAATCGTCCCAAAGTTTCCAGCCAGTTTGATATCCACACTGGAGCAACCGAGTCCCTGCCTGATTAGGATTAGTCTGTAAGCAACGACCTGGAGGCTTCAATAGCAAACTGCGAGTAGGAACTGTAATCTTGTACCTATAGTCTATTCCTACGACCTTGAACACCGCCGCACTCAGTAGCAATGATTACCAGGTTCCCCAAAAGCACACTGAACAAGAGATAGCATCTGCGCCGGGCCCTGGTATTGTGGACATGTGGAACATCTAGAGGACACCCTGACTTGAATCATCTGCACAGAAAGAATATTGCAATCGCACCCTTGATGGCTGCCGGTGATGATCATACAAGGCGACCATGAGATCTCCATGTCCCGTCAGAATTGGTACCCTCAGGCCCTGCTGGACTTGCGAAGCGCGCCCTAGAAACCCGTCTGGACAGCAGGAGTTGCACACAGGACAGGCCCTTATACTTCCAGCATAGTAATAGCCTTGTCTATTGGTTTCTACATCGATAGTATCCATCCATACCATAATGATAGTTGAGCAAGATGATACCTTCCATGAGATACCGGATTTGAGCTGTTGGTGGAGTAAAAAGTAGGCAGTATTGGCTGTCCTCTAGCTACCAAGAACTCTTGTCACAGTCTTCGACCGGGTCTCATAGCCTCAGCCCTGCAAGAGAAAATCCTAGTGCGTATCTGGCATAGAATGACACCAAGATCCCGACGGAGGCAGATTTGATCTGAGTCTTGCCAGGGGACCATTGAGCACGATCTGAAGTATTGGCCTGAGCGTAACGCCTTATCTCCAAGCATGAGCTGATCAAACCGAGTTGATCACCTGTGACCTTCGGGGGGTGGCGTGCCTTTGAGCATCACGCGACTGCATTGGGAAGTCCCTCATGCTCCTTGACATATAAACCACCCTCTCTCTAATCCTTCGAGGGCTCGAATCACACGACTAGTGTGCCTGAGTGAGACCGTCTTTATCCTTCGCCTTTGAGGAGTACTAAACACTTTCTAATAAAGTGCATACGTTTCTTTTAGATCGGCAGCTTCAGCCTTTATAAGTCACTTGCTGCCCTGTCGATATTAAGCCGGCTGCGCTGAAGGACATAATAGTCCAGGTAGTAAGTAGCCAGTTGGGGCTGATAGTACCAAGCAGGTCTCCTTGGGCCTCAAAAGGGCAGTATCAAGCATGGGTCAGGTCTCCACTGGTCCGCAGACGAGCGGTGCCGAATCTCACTCACTGGCATCAATGCGCACAGATACATGGATGAGATTCAGGTTGGAGGGAGAAGAGTTAGAATGCCCGAGAATCAGACATCGGAATTCTCTGCCTACGTTTTGGAGGTACATGACAAGATGTACAATCCACCGGCTACCATGAAGGCAACGATGTGATCGACAATAGGATACTGTAGTAAGTTCATATCCGCCATGCATAATTTTACTGTACAAATTACTGTAGATCTAGAAGATAAGATGAGGCTTACTACATAGAACTTAAGTTTAGAAGACCTTCAAGCTAGATCAGAGATTGGCCAATGAGTACCAGACTGCAGTACTGCTACCGTCAACTTGCAGACTCATGATTGTCACCACAGTTGTGAATAATTCAAGCGTCTGTATACAGTAGTTCGGCGAGACTGTGCGCATGGATGATCCCGATCTGTAGCTGGCTTGAATTTGTCACATGTCCTAAATATATGCTCTCCCATCATATCTTCAAAGCGTCAAATCAGTCAAAGAAGACAGGGAATTTCGTGATTGAGCAGAATTTGTTGTATTTCATACTTCTTCCTAAGGGAGGTCGCAGCGTTGAGGGCTTGCTGTCTCCGGTTCCTTTTCAATGATTTTATCGTGTCCGGAGGCTGCGAGGGTCTGGATTCCAGGCTAAGATGGATTGGGTAAGGTCTCACAAGATGATGCGTCGCGGCGTTCGGCCGTTAGTGGAACTTGACATCCTGTCCGTGAGACATGCAAGAGACCTAACACACAGGCAGGAATAGGCTCAGAGGTGTCGATTGATAAGTAGAGGCTGTGCGAACCTCCCGAGCCATCTAGGCAGTTGAAAAAAATGATCAAATTACATAGTAGGGTTCTCAGGGTCTCAAGCTCAAACAATGATGACAACTAACGGGTGAGGCATTGATTTAAGTAACAAAGGTGGAAGACCATCTGATGCTCTGTGGCACGGTAAGTCGATCCACTATTAACCCACCCGCCTTTGTGGCAGTGCATTTTTCCAGCAACCCAGAAACACTACTCCGTAAAAGACCATAATTACCGATGGAAGAATTGTGGCCAGTTCCACGAATGGATTACTGAACAATACGCCATGCTGACGGTGTGTAATTTATCGCTGGAGATCCACGGGATTTTCTTAGCACTACCTATAGGTGGCCACTTCAGTCCTGGGTACTCCTATCGAACGAGTCCTCAGAGGCCAAAACAAGAACCACTGGGTTAACATGCAAGGCTCGAATATGCTTGGCAGGACTTCGATTTCTCTCTCTCTCCCTCTTTCCCTCGTGGACAGCAGGCAAGAAAGCCTAGAAGAAGCAAAGAATAGAAGTCAAATAGGGAAACCGACCAGTCATGATCGTCATGGTTAAGACATGCAGGACTCCAGGCTCAGGACTGAACACTGTTGCTAAATTTGGTGCGGCCTCCAAGTGGGATCGAATGATTGGAGAGTCGGAGACTCGGAGACAGTCCCGGAACGTCGGTTACGCGGGGGGAGAAATCCTACTGGTACTGGTACTACTGGTACCGAGTAGGTAGAAAGGAGTGAGGCGTGGTCAGGGCAAGGAAACAATAATCACGTTCAAAATGATCAATATGATCAATATTAACTGGAATCATTGCTTCAGATTGTACATAATCGACTACTCCGTCCTAGCCCCATGTCATCAAATTGTCATCAAATGAAGGAAAGATGTGGTCAGTGTGTGTGTGTGCTGTTGCTGCACTGCAGCCTCTCCGAGTGATCCACGGCGATCCATCGGCTGGTGTGGATTGTGGAATGATAGACAGGCAGGCAGGGGCAGGGGGGGGGGGGGGGTGACGCTCATTACTGGAAGAGATGCGGGAGCTAAAAAGAGCGGGTTGAAGTACATGCAATTGATGACGCCAGCCCCCCCGTACTTAGTACTCCTCTGTAATTTCATTCTTATTGATTTCCATCTATCGTCCCCCAGGCAATAGTCTGGTCTCCTCTTCATGTAGATAGGTACCATATTCCCGTAGTTGGACATACCAACTTACCAAGTATCCTGAGCAACTAGACTACTCCGTCGTATTATGGGAAATAATTATCCAAACATCTATCTCCCTTTCGTATTGAAGAGTCCCCGCTTGACGGGGTTGTCTCAGACAAAGACTGCCTGGCCAGTCAGCTGTTACACACTTAAGGTCGAACATCAACTAAAACACTTTTTACACTTACACTTACACTTAAGTTACTGTGTACACTGAACACTCAGTGAACAAACCTCCAGACCCACTGGGCAAAGTATCATCTTCGTCTGCTCCCCCCCCTCTCTCTTGTACCTCCTCTCTCTCTTTCTGGTCTTCATCTTTCGCTTTTCTTTTTCAATCAACTACCCTACCTTCTGTTCTCCATTCGCTTTGCGACCTCTCTATTCACCTTATCTCTCTTCTCTCTCCTCCACCTCCACCACCTCCTCCTTCCCGCTCGCTCCATTCGCATTCCCTCCGTTTCGCTCACAAACATCAAACTCAAACAAACTACATCCCGCGCGATCCCTTCTTCTGCCCGATCCGCTGACTCGCCGGACGGACTTTGGACGTCAAGTGGCCTCGTCACAGGCGCTTGTGCGCTGACTACGCATCTCCTCGCTAACTATTACTTGCCTCTCCGCTCTTTTCGCCTCCAACACTCACTACCGGTAACTTCATGGAACCAGACTTCCGCCGTTCCTAGTCTTGGCAGGCCCCGACACACCTCGTCGCTGTCTTTCGCTGCGAAGGAGCTGGTCTCAATTGGCATTTCCCCTCCCCGATACTTTACACTTCTCGTTTCCACCTTCGTTCCATCGCATCGCCAGTGGGCTTCATCATTCGCGCGAGCTGCTGCGTCTGCCGGGTCTCAGCAACATTATACCGTGGGCCTAAAACTGGTTTCTCCCTCAACTTATTGTTACTATTTTAGTTCCGATTCTGGGCATCATGGGTCGCTCGCGAGGTAGGGAGTTCGTTCTCACTTGCTTTGGAAAGCGCTATACTGACACCAGATTCTCTCCCCAGTGTTATCGTTGATGTCGGTTTTCGGCGGCTCCTCTCGCAAAGATAACCCCAGCCAACACCATCGGACCGCGTCGGCTTCAGTCACTTTGAACAACCCCCCGTTTAGGAATGATCCTCCGACGCCAGATACCACTTCACCTGTTGATGCGTCGCCGATTAGTGGGACATCGAACGCGGAACGACGAATCTCGTCACGACCCGACTCGACCTATTTTTCGCACAATCCCCCTCTGGTGGAGTTTTCGCAAGACACACCGCCAGAACTTCAGCCTATATTCGGCCATCTCAACAGCCATGCCAACAAACTATATCACGAAGGTTATTTCTTGAAGTTAAATGACTTGGATACTCGTATGTGTCT